CTGGCTGTGTCGGGAAGCTGCTCGAGCGGGATGATCCGCTCCTGCGTCGCACGCGCTGCCTGTCCTTGCGTTGTTTTTTTGTTGTTCCGAGAGGGATGTGTAGAAGGGCGCGCGCCGGTCCGTGCACGAGGGTTGCGAAGGGTTCGAGCCGCCAACCCCCAGACCACGTTGCCGACGGCGGCCGCGCGGGCCGCCTTGGAATCGAAGCATCCCATTGTGTTTGCCCAGGGCAACATCCAGTGCGCCTTCTGCCGCATGCTGCTGCCGCAGGGCCTGGTGGAGTTCTTCACCTTGCACGGCGTATCCAACCGATCCCTGCGCCTGTCAGAGCTCAGCGGCATCCCATTGCCGCCCGACTGCGTGCTGCAGGCGATGGTCCGATTCCTGCCCATGGGCTGGAGATGGTCGCTGCTGTTCTGTCAGAGCATCCTGCGGAGGGCGCTCGTTTGCGACGGGTTCGGTGGCGGCGACTTGGTAAAGGACGGCCGCCCCAGACCTGAGCTGGTCTGCTCCGCTGATTCTCGCGGCTGCAGGCCACGTGGACACCTTCGCCGTTGCGGGCGGCGAGCCCGCCCCAGACGCGGCCGAGAGTGATCGGATCAAGGGTGCGCTGCGGTGCAGCGGGGCCACCGGCTCACTTGCTGCACGAAGCGAGCCCCTCTTCCACCTTCGCGGCCCTGGAACAGGATGGCGCCCACGGCCCGGCGAGAGCGAAGCCCGCTGGCATCATGGGGCCCAGGCAAGTTCTGCTGGCCGCCCTTCGTCGATGGGCGGCCTCGCCCCGCGTGCTCGAAGCACTGCTGGGTCGCATCGCGTCGGCCATGGCCCGCGAGAGAGAGACGTCATCCATCCTGTTCTCCGCGCGCGTAGAAGTCTCTGGAGGATTCTGGAGTCAGGCCTATGTGCGGCTCGGTGATGTTCGAGTTGTGGTGCGCGGCAAGCGCGTTGCCCCCGCGGACCTCTCGCATTGGCCTGCCTTGGGCCACTCATGTCTCGGCTTCGGCGCGCGCGCGCGCCGTTGTCGGGGTTGGACTCGGGCGGTCGAACGTTGGAGGCAGCCTGTGCGGCGGTGCCGATGCGCGGCCGCGGCGTCTGCTTGAGCGAGCGCCCCGGGCGTCGCGGGCGCCGCCGGCGTCTCGGAATTCGCGGGGGCCGTCGCCAATCGCCCCGCCAGGCGACACGCGAGCATGTCCCAGGAGCCCGATGGCGTCAGAAAGGGCTCCAGTGAGACCCAGGTGGATATCACGCTGCCTCCTTCGTGGGCCACTGGGATCTCAAGCAGGCGCTGGCATGGGCCAAAGGATAGTTTGGAACATGAGGGGCAGGCGGCGTTCGATGCCGCGCAGCATGCCACCCCTGAACCACTGCGTCGACATCAGCAGCTTCTGCGTCGTCTCGCCAACCCCCCTCTGGCTCTAGCTGCTGGCAAGGGCCGCGGGCGTCAGCCGACGCCCCTCCGACCTTTTGGGCGGCTTGTGAGTCCCAGTCTGGCAGCCGGACTGCGATGTCAGTCTCGGCGGCTGCCGTCGGAGTCGAACGTGGCGGACGCTCCGCCTCGCCGTGGCGTCTCCCACGACGAGAGCTTCGATGGCGCGATGTTTGTCGCGGGGCACCGGGCCAAGGAGCGGCTCCCTGGCGGCGACGCAATCAATGGGCCACCCGCGGGCGGGGGGCCTGGTCGAGGGGGCAATCTGCTTCTTGGAGGCGTCGGCGGTCGCGCATGCGACGAGGGCGCGCTACTCATGTCGCGCGAAGAGGTTCCTCGAGTGGCCCGCCTTGCGCGGCGGCAACTTCAGTGGGGCGGCCCAGCCCGACATCCTGATGGAGGCCTTCCTGATCGACCTGGCCCTGGAGGGCTTCGGCGCGGCCGCGGGCGGGCCGGCGGGGCGGCCGCAGCTCGCGCCTCGCGCAGGGGCGCCCGCTGCCTTGGGCCGCGCGGGCGCTGGGCGGCCGGGCGCGCATGGGCCTTCCCCCTCCAGATGCGGTCGCCGATGCCGCGCTCCGCGGCGACGGCGGCGGCGGGCTGGCCGCCTGCGCGGCCCCGGTCTTCCGCGCGCGCCCCATGCCGTCAAAGGCCTATCGCGCGAAGGCGGGGTCGCTGGCGCCGCCCATCGAGATATCGTCGGTGCGATCGTGGGTGGCGATCTTGGGCGATGCCAAGCCTGGCCGCCCATGCAAGACGGCGGTGACGGGCGAGTCCGCGCCGGTGGACGCCGTCGCGCACGGGCCCGTGCTGCTCGCCACGATTGGAACTGGGCGCAGGGATTGCAGCCCGCGGGACTCCAAGCCCGCCGACGTCCGCGCGATGTTCTGGCGCGCGCTGTTGGAGCTCGGGCAACGGAAACATCCCCCATCCTTGTGCGCCCTCCGGGAGCCGCGCGCGATGCGTTGGCGGGAGCTCGTTCAGCGGCGGAAGTGAAGGAGAGTGGCCGCTCGACATCGGACAACTCGCTCTAACGGCGCGGCAAGCGGACGCGCATGCAGCAGAGGAACACTTACCTCCCGACGAACGTGGCCATCTTCAGGGGTGTCGTGCTCGCGAGGTTCTTGGCTCTCGGAATCGATTCAGACCATGCAGGTTCGCATCGGACTTCTTCCCGCTGAAGGTGCCCACCTGGGCCGCGGCGCTCGTGGAGGCGGCCGTTCGGCTGGCGCCTGTTCTCACGAGAAGGTAAGCTCGCGCATGGGAGCGGCGTTCCGGCGTGCTCACAGGAGGGATTCCCGCCGCCGCCGCCTCGTTCTGCCATCGGGCTCCACGGCCCCCCCCTGTGCAAAGCGCTGCGCGAGTGCGGATTCGGGTGTCCAGCTCTGGGGGCAGGGCGGAGCGTGGGTTTCAGCCTGTCTGGTGTGTCTGTCGAAGCTGTCCTCCAGGGTTGCATTCCTGCCTCAGTTGTCTGTGCGCTCTGGCTGTTGTTGCCCAGAGGGTCCTGGATCCAGTCTGGGGCGCTGGGCGCCTCCTCTCCGTGGCCCCGCCAACCCCTGAGGGCGTTTTGTGTGTGTGTGTGAGTGTCAGAGCCTCTAGGCCTCCCAACGGCAGGGTCGATAACCTCGAAGATCAAACGTCCGGTAACTCGCGCGTGTATATCCCCAAGGGCTTGTCGACTTTTTGCCGATCGATTTGTGTGGATCGGGCCAGATAAATCCAGGTAGATGCAGATGAACCGAGTTACATCCAGGTAAATTCAGGCACATCGAGATACATCTGGGCAAACCCAGGTCAATCCAGACATGTCCAGGGACATTTGGAGCAACTCTCGGCCGCTCCAGCGCGCGTCGAAGGACGGCAGGAGGCGTTAAGCCTTAACCGAGTATAAAACATAGGGTTCCAGTTATACATATATATATATATACACATGCACCGATAATTGTATGTATATTTGTATATGCATATGTATACAAATAATTATATATGTATATATATATATATATATATATATATATATATATATTCGGGCGCCCTGGGTCAAACACCGCATGGGCTTTCCCCCGCGGCAGCAGCTCATCCAGCACCCTGCGCGCGAGAAGTTCGACTTTGACCCCTCGGGCCGGCGGCTCGTTCGGCCACGTGGCGGCCACGCGCGCTTGTTCCGTGGGTCTCGCCCACGAAGGCGGAGGATCGGGCCGCCTTCGGCCTCGTCAGAAGTATTTGGACACGCCGTTCATCTGGAGGTAGGGAAGGGATGTGGTAGAAAGGTGTGTGGTGCTAGTTCTACGTAAAAAGAGAATGCGGCGCTGTTATTTATCGCTGATCGCATCGCCACTTCCACGATTGGCACCACTCCCCTTTGTGCCGCACCCCGTTCCGACCTCCAGGGTTCAAAATCGACGCGCCCGATAGTTCGGGCCACCTGTCCGAAACTGCGCCCGCCGACGCTGTGGGCAGGGTGCTGTTGGATCTCGTGCACCATTTGCGTGTGGACCAAATGCCGCCTCGGGCCAGCATTGAGGTAGCGCCCACCGCGCAGGCGGCAATACCAACAACCGCCAAAGTATGTTTGACGAGCCTTGTAGTTTTAAGTCTGGCATGTCCCTCTACAGGAAGAATATTCAAAAATAGTCTGGGCACAACTTGATTATTGTTGATCATTTTGGAATGCGTTTTGGATATCGGTTTCAATCTTAATTTGTCGTCCAAAATCCCCCAGTAGGAGGAGACGCCCGACCTAATTGTAGTTGCAGGGTGTGCTCGACGTCTGTGCCCTGTGATATCGCGAGGCCTTCCCGGTCTCAGTGCAAAGGCTTCCTGCAACCGTCAGCGTCTAGAAGGATCGTTTCGGCAACATCATCATGATCTGAACATTAAGATCATTAAGATCATCCCAACCAGTAGCATCACCATCATCATCATTATCATCATCGTCATCGTCATCATCAGCATCAGCATCAGCATCAGCGTCAGCAGCATCATCATTATGATCATCATCAGCATCATCATCATCACAATTGTCATCGTCATCACCTTCGTCATCATCATCACCTTCGTCATCATCAGTATAATCACCATCACAATCGCCAGCTTCGCCAAAACCATCGTCACCATCACCATCACCATCATCGTCATCATCATCATCATCAGCAGCATCATCATCATTTGCAGCATCATCATCACCATCACCATCACCATCATCATCATCATCATCATCATCATCATGATCATCATCATCATCATCATTACCATCATCATTACCACCAGCAGCAGCATCATCATCAGCATCATCAGCATGACCCTCTGAATCATCGTCATAATCCCCTTCATCATTATCCCGTTCTTCTCTTCCCCATTCTTCCTCTTCCCATCGCCATGCCCCTGGGCCCTCCTTCCTCGGAGGTTGATGGGGGGAGGGGGACGAAGAGGATGGAGGAGGGAGGTGGGGGGAGACGGAGAGAGGGGTAAGGAGGAGACGGAGGACGAGGAGGAGGGGAAATAGGGAGGTTTGCGCGGGGAGGATTCGGAGCAGGCATGAGGGATGCCCTCCAGTTTTTCCTCCTCCCCACCACAGGAGATGATCGACAAGGGCATCAATGCGACCGCCATCACGTACAGCACCTTGGCGTGGGCGTGCGAGAAGAGCGGGCAGCCGACTCTGGCCAAGGAGACCTCCTTCCTCCTCCTCATCCTGCAGCTGCGCTCGCTCTGGAGGCGGAAAGCTCCGTAGCGTCCACACTTTCGCCTCCTCCTCCTCCTTCTCCTCCTCCCTCCGCCCCCCGCAGCCCTCTCCTGCAGTCAAGTCGTTGAAACAAGGACTCGCTTGATTTCGGAAGGGGCTCGCTGTTCCTCGGCCCAGCCGTGTGTGTTTTTTTCCTTGAGCGCCTTTCTCAGTTCCGGTCCTCATTTAGCCTTCCTTACAGGAATAGCTCGACGGTGCGTCAACGAGCGAGCGCCGACGCGACTTCCAGAACGCACGAACCGTGTCAAACTCGAGCTCGCATCACCTTGGTGCAGACTACGCGGAGCGGGAAGTGCGACGACAACACTACAAGTGGGCAATCTCTTCCTCCTCCACCTCCTCCTCCTCTACCTACTCCTCCTCCTCTTCCCTCTCTCTCTCTCTCCTCCTCCTCCTCCTCCTCCTTCTCCTCCTCCTGCCTCCTCCTCCTCGTCCTCCTCCTCCTCCTCCTCCCTCCTCCTCCTCCTCCTCCTCCTCCTCCTCCTCCTCCTCCTCCTCCCCCTCCTCCTCCTCCTCCTCCTCCTCCTCCTCCTCCTCCTCCTCCTCCTCCTCCTCCTCCTTCTCCTCAAGCTGTTCGTGCGCAAGCTTGCACCGACCAGTTGAGTCTGGCAACGAACCCGCCCGATGGGGGAAAACCAAGAGGGGATGGACGTCGATGGCCGGGGCGTCAAGCGAGGCGCCGCGGGGGCCCCTAGCAAGGAGGTGTCGAATGGAGATATATTCGAGTTGCTCCAAACCTTCCAGAGGGAGTACCGGACCGACAGGGAGCAGTTCAACGGGGAGATTGCTAAGGTAAACGCCAGCGTCGAACAAGTTGATCAGAAAGCTGATCGCGCTCTTCGGGAGGCTTCTGAGGCCAATGAGGCCGTCAAGCAATTTCTCGTCCAGCAGAAGCAACAAGCAAGCTCGGCAGCATCGGCAACATCGAAAAATACAGGAGCGACCGGTACCACTGGAATTCCGCAGGGACGTTCGACCAGCATCGATTTGAGGAAGTTGGTGATCGGCGGATTTCCTGCATATAGTGAGCAAGATGAAATGCAAGCAGCAGCAGATTCCATCCTAAGCAACCACACGGACAATATCTTGTATCGCTATTACGCTTCTCCGGGCAGTCATTGCACGATCATTTGGAAAACAGAAGATCATATGTGGAATTGGATTGGAGAGTGGCGTAAACGAGTGAAAGAGGAGGATGCAGGAGATGGGAAGGCGTCTGTTCAGATTGGTCCTACCACGTATCGGCTTTGGGCAAAGAGGCATGAGGATAAGGAGCAGCGGGATCGCAAGTCCAGGCTCGCCAGGCTGAAGGAGGCCTTCTGCACCCTGGACAGCACGTCGCCCTTCCGCATGGTCAATAGCCAGGACGCCATAGTTGCGTATAAGCTGCCTGTCGCGGGTTTCGACGACAAGGGCGAGCTGAAGATCAAGCCCGAGAATTTCACCTCAGCGATGAAGACCAACGGAGTTACGGAGGACATGGTGAAGAACGCCTATGAGAACGCTGTCCAGCAGAAGCAGCGTTCGTTTCGGCCCTTCTGATCGACGGAGAGACGCTGACTGGATTCGACCGCCAGCCAGTCAGCAGCGCACAATTCCGACGCAGAATTGTGCAGGCGGATCGGGGCCGGCACTTCGGGGACCAGTACCACGAGGTCAACGGCACCACAGTTTTGTCAATGTAGTTGGTCTGAATTGCTGCGGGGTTTCTCAAGATACGGAGTCTCTCCGGGACTTCCTTGAAGGTATACATATCGAGTGGGACGCACTTCTTCTTCAGGAGTTCAATGGTTGTGGGGATGGCTATGCAGGTAACATAGATGGGCATGCTATTGTTCCAGCTGCTGGGGGAGTTGACGTTCGGGGATGTGCAATCGTTCTCCATAGGAGGCACAAGACGGCCATGGAAAAACCAGTACCATCGCAAAATCCACGAGTGCAAGATTCGCATATATGCATTGGGCAGCGGCAGTTGTACCTTATCAGCGCGTACCTCCCGCAAGGCGGAGATCTGGATGAATGGAAGAAGCACTTCGGTGTGGTACGCCGTACAATCCGGAAGCAGTGCAGGAGATCAGAGATGCTGATACTGTCCGCCGATGCCAACTGTGAGATGGGTGAACGCTTAGGCCCTGCTGAGCATGCTTATCTCGGCTGTTTTTCCCAAGGTCTTCGAAAGGACCGCGGCCAGGTCCTCGTCGAGGCGTGTGTAAAGCAGCATTTTGCCGCTCTCAATACGTTTTTCCCGCTTGCTGGCGGTTCTACTTGCCATTCTTGGGGAGATCAAAATGGAAAGGGCACTCAAATCGATTTCGTGTGCACGCACGCCGATAAACTTGGACAGATCGATCGCGTTCGGAAGCATCACGTTCTTGCGACCCGAACTGACCATCACATGATCCAGGTCCGCCTTCGGGCGGAGAGGCGGACCGCTTGGCATGAACGTGAGCCGGTTGGGTGGACCCTGCAAGACCCCGTGCCTTTTTTCAAGCAGCTTTCGCAGCATATCGATGAGCACGACACTCTTGGGGATATCTCTGCAATTCTGGGGGAGGTGGGTAAGCATACAGGCGTGCTGCCTTCTAGGAAAAGCATGCGGCGGGCCAAGCGTACTACCTTGCACATCTTGGAAGGCGAGTGGCGGCAGGCGACTTCTAGACAAGCCAAACGAGCGGCTGCCGAAAAGGTTTTCCAGGAGCGCAAGCGCCTGCAGGCTGAAGGTATCAATGAAAGGAGTTTGGAAGTCCTGGGGAATTTACGTCAGGGAGGCTGGGGTAAGAAGAAAAGAGCTGTCTCTTCGGGTAGCGCGTTCTTCACGTGCCCTCGCTCGAAGCAAAGCATCACCGAAACCAGCAGCCTGGAGAAGAGCATGGTGGATTTTTTCAACGAGACGTTCCGGGACCCCGAAAACGAGCTTCTGCCTATTTGGATTTTGGGGAGTTTTCCACAAGCGGAACCTATTCCTACTAGCGCTGTTCATGAGGCCTTCATGCGAGTAAACAAGGGTGCGAGTTGTTCGGGCGACGGAGTTGTCGGGGAGATGCTTGAGGCCATCGCTAGTTTCCAAATGCAGCTGCCAGAACGGGTTCCTGTGGCCGCAGCCGCGCCTATTGGGGGGCCGGGCGGGTATGGGAGGTGCCATTTACTGCAGTTCGACGGAGCCAGGCGGGACGAGCAGCAGGTGGGGTGTGGCGGTGTCCTCTTCGACCCGGGGGGTAACCAGATCTTCGATTTTAAGTGGCGCATGTTGGGGGGTAGCAATGCTGACGCTGAGTGGCACGGCCTTCTGATAGGGCTGGAGTACGCTTCGCAAGCAGGGGTTCAGTTTTTGGCGATCGAGGGGGACAAAAACGCCGTTATTCAGCAGCTTTTGGGAGTCTGGCAGGTTTGGGATTTCAGGAGTTCTATTTACCGATCTCAGTGCTACGCAAATTTATCTACGTTCTTCTACGTCCAGGCTAAATCGGTTCCCAGGGCTAGGAATTATCTAGCGGACTCGTACGCGAATCTCGGCATCGACGAAGCGCTGCCGGTACCGATGCATGACTCACCTTTCAGCTTCCATTCGTGCGGGTACTGCCTGCAGGGAGGCCCGAAACGTGGCGACGCCGACGCACCGCTCATAGACGGCGATGTCCGCGCCAGTTCTGGTTGCGACGATTTCCCCCATTTCTCCACGTGCTTGTGCATTGAGGGTACGGACGTCACACATCCGCTGCATATCATTACAGAGTGCCTCAACAGGGATATCCGTGGGGATTGTCGCACAGTACATGCACGTCCTTCGAAACGACGTCGTCGGAGCGAGGGGGGAGGAGAGGGATCACAGAGCACGCATGATCGCACACGTGACCATGATGACGTACCAGTGTGTATTTTGGGCATGACGGGTTACCAAAGGGACATTAGCATTCTTACAAACATGGCCCTGCTACCTAAGGAAACCGTAGTGCATTGGTGGAACCAGCTCCGGCCAATCACGGTCTTTCCTGTTCTGTTGAAGGTGGTGGGTGGAGCTGTCTTCGACACTGTCTCGAACTTGCTGCTACCTCGCAACTTATAGCAGTTCGCTTATCGGGCGCGCCACTCCTGCGTAGACATGCTCTTCACAGTAATGATGCTTGGCCAACGTTCCGTGCAGGCTGACCAGAAGTTCACGATTGCTCCGTCTGATGTACCTAAAGCTTTCGATCGAATTCGTCACGCGTTCATCGTGGATACGTTAATGGAGAGGGGGGTACCGCGTAGTATCATAGCATGGTTTATACGTCACATTCGTAGTCTACGGCGTTCGCTACACTATCAAGGGCTAGAGGGTATTACGGAACGCATTACTCGATCTATTCCCCAGGGAACCAAATGGGGCCCAGTCGACCCATTTCAGCCAAAAGGGGTCGTTTTTCGCAGTTTCCCGCAGCATTGCATTTTCGTGTCGACTTAGCTGTTTTTTCCTTGTAACGTAGATGCTCGGCTTCTTAGCATTCTCGACAGGCGGACGATGTCATTCAGGCCTGCTCACCACCACCACCTTCTTCTCCTTCTCCTTCTCCTCCTCCTCCTCCTCCTCATCATCATCATCCTCATCATCATCCCCCTTCTCCTCCTCCTCCTCCTCCTCCTCCTCCTCCTCCTCCGCCTCTTCCTCCACTTCCGTCTCCTCCTCCTCCTCCTCCTCCTCCTAGGAAACCGTACAATCCATGAGAGGGGACGGAGAGATTCAGCAACGGGGCTTCGCCTAGGCTGGTGGGGGGGTACATGACGGCGAGGGGGTGCATGCAGCAGGACATTTGCAAGAAGTGTTATTCCGGTTCCAGTAATGTAGCTCAGGCAAGCAGTTTGTGGAAACCTCGATGTACTGGCAGGCTGCAGCGCATCACACTCATCCACCGAGTTTGGACGTCATCCGCTTTGTGGACGGCCCCCTG